GAGTTCTTTGCAACAGAAAAACTGCTCTATTATTTTTCCGTAGTCAAAAGAGAGCAAAAATTAAGATCCAGCATTTTCTGAGTACCACGACATTAGCAAGGAGTGCCTTAAGTTTCATAGGGTTGAGAACCACTGCTGTAGCCTCTCCCTCCCTCCATTTATGATGCCTGCTCCCAACCCAGGAGACAGCACAGCTGAACACGGAGTGAGAGAACAGAGGTGAGGGCTATCTTTGTGGTGCAAAAGCTAGCTATGCTAGCCACACATACAGGGCAACATAGGGGCCATAGCTCACACTAGTGCAACCCCAAACCACCTAGAAGTTGGATAGCCATGCTTTAAGATGGTTTCTCCAAGTATACAACACTGGCACAATTGGAACTAAATATAAACATTTTGTGACAAAAAGAAAAAACTTTAGAAAGCACTTCAACGAGGTATTCATTATGAATTTAGTTGATCAGTCCCACACATCCCCCCACTGCTGCCCTTTGTGCCCAGTATCAGAGCATAAGTAAGGATCACTAGTGACAATCATAAATGAGCAGAAACATCATTCAACAATACAACCAGCTAACTTACAACGTCTGTCTGCCACAGAAGGTCCGAATGAAACACTGACAGTATTTTTAAAAAGGGCAGGAAGTCTTGAAAACAAGCAACAGATGTTACACTATAAGCTTGTTCCTGCTGTCTTCCCGCATGCAGTTTCATAGTAGATCTTATGCTGGCAAGTACAGTTCATGTTCAGTGATGGCAGGATAATCCAATGCAGGGAACAGACTGCAGGGAAGTTTTCTTCTCCGCTTGTGTAGACTCAGATTAGCCAGGTGAGTTTGCATCCATCAGAAGCATCAGATACTAGCCACTTGAGGGGGCCGGATCCCAGGTGAGAGAGAGCAATGTACTGACACAGTATTGGGTGGGGTGGGAATTGCCTCTCCCCAGAACTGCCCACAAAAATACTTCTAACTTGAAAAGATTAAGTTACTTGCTACCCTACTGTTGTAGGCAGCTCCTCTTCTACTTCTCTTGCTCTACTCTTCTATTGCTCCTCTTCTACTTTAACTGCCAGTCTTGTATGTTAACCTAAACTCTGGGACCTTTACCTCCTCCCAGGGACGGAAGAGGAACGAGGACTGGTGCAGTGGAAGGCAGGAGCGCATGCTGACAGCAGCATGTCTGAAAACCTGAAAAGCTATGACTTCCCATTTGGGATGAATGTGGTAAAAAGGATCCACTGGCTGAAGTATGTGCCAGTGTGTCCAGTTTTCAAAGGATTCAAGTCAAGGACAAAGAATCGTGACACAACGGAAGATGCACAAGACAACACAAACAACTTAGCCGTATGCACGAAGGTCTGAAAGAACTGCATAGAGGGTGGCATGGGCATAACATGGGGACAGGCACTTATTTCAGAGGGCCGCTTAATGAGTTTTGTTGAGCTGTTGAGAGCCACAAGGGTAGCCCTGCCCCTTGACAGGAGCCCCATCCCCTGGTTGCCATCTTGGGACCAGAAGACCTGTCCCCTAGCCCCCAACCTTTGCTGTCAGAAGTCCCTCCCCTTGCCCCCAGAAGCACTGCTTTTGGGAAGAGGGATTTGCCATCTTGGAACCAGAAAAGCCCCCACAAATTCTACACTTAGTGTTTGATTTTATTTTTTTTTTTAAATCAACAATGTATTTTATTTTTAAAAAATATTTGTCCATGTGTGGGTGATTGCATAATACCTCAAAATGAAGTCTTATGCTTGTATAAGAAGGGGTGTGTGTGTGGGGGGGGGAAGGTATGGGCTGTGGGCATATAGCAGTGAGCAGGGCTCCCCCCAGATGTGCACAGGTGCATGTGGGGGAGGGGTGCGGTGTTGGTGGGATGTGTGATTGTGTGGGAGAGGATGTGGTTTGCAGAGGAGTCTGCAGGTATGGTGGGATATGCATTGGAGCTCCCCCACACATTCCCTGCTTGAGCTGGTCAGCATCCACCCCTGCCTGCAACAGCCCAGAGCTCATGTGCCCTATAGCACCTCCCTGCCACTGCCAGAGGCGCACAGCCCCTACCCTGGACTCACCCCCAACAGAGTAGATCAGCCAGAGCCTGGGCACAGCCCCAACCCCAGCCGACCCCTACTCCGCACTGCCTGCCTCTAGTGTATCCTGCTGCCCCTTAGGCATACAGTGGTGCTAGGGCAGCTTCACAGCTCCTTCTGGCTGCTGTCACTGCTGGCCCCAGCCCCATGGTACCGGCGGGGGGCCCCGCCCAGCCCCAACCCCCTGCACACCAGCAGGGAA